ACAAAAACTATTTATTTACACTAATTATTAAAGAACTTAAAAACACTATTAAATTATTACTAAACTTAGGTTATGAATTATTCTATTTATTTACACTACTGTTGATATATCATTATTCACTGCGCTATTTATTTCACTGCTATCACTGTCAATTTATTTCTGAATTCATTTCTGCAACGGTCAGTTTATTTCTTTCGACTCGGCGATCGTCTCTTCATTTAAATACTGTTTTGTTTACTTTCTGGAACCTTCTGGAAACATCCGGAAGGTTTATTTTTGTTTAAACTGTTTACCTGCTTTCCCAGAACGCAGGTACGACACACACATTTACAAATACGGCGCAAATGAAGAAATGCGCCCGCGGTTAGTCGGCGAATCGATAAGCCGTTCACGCACACGTGTGCCCGATCGCACACAAACACATTCGTGCTCGCTACGATACTAACATTAAAACCAAAAAAAAACATACTTTTAAATTAATGTTAAATATACATTAATAAATTTTATTGCTAAATGATCTTTTGAAGTTTTGATTTACTACTGAGATAATGTGACAAAAGGGCTATTTGAAATCGCCATACTTTTAACCTTGCAAGTAATAAGAAAAAGCCACCGTACAGTCGGGCGAAACGCAGGCAATTGTGTAATTAAGCGATTTTTTTACCTGAATAGTTCAAATCTTCCCTCAAGTTCTTCAGTGATTTAATAGAAAACAAGTTAAGTCAATTGCTTGCTCCGTGAACCATCTAAAAGGAAACGAAAAACAATCAATCGTCCTTTCGCTACGATTTAATCAGATTGTCTCTTAACCGCATTTGGAATTACTGAACCTTATTTTCGAAGGCTTTGGCTATTTAGTAACTGCGTATATTAATTTACATTAATAAAACACCTAATTGAACTAAACCTGTGCTAGATAGAACTAATGAAGTTATGGCTTTTGTAATGTCGGTATTGCTTTGCGCTTAATATGAGCAAATTTTAACTTTATTAGTGCTATAAGGATTAAGCTTGTTAATATAAACATTCTCTTTAATGGGGGGAATACACGGCTTCGGTTCTGTTTTCGCCTGCACTATAATTAAAGTTTTTGAGTAGTTTTATCGTACAATTAGATCATTTAAGAAAATATTAAGACAGTAGTATTTCAGGGATAGACAATCTTCATTTCTTTTTATTTTATTTATTAAATAAATATTTTTTTGATTTTAACATTACATCTATAAACTCATCTCTAACCCAAATCAAAAGATCTAATCGGCTAAACACGCCAGTGAGGTATTAGTTTATGAAACTATTTCCAAAAACGTAAATGGTTCAGCGGTTTGGATAACCGGCTGGCATGCCGGCGAGCTTGGGTTCTATTCCGGACCGATAGTGTTCCTTTTTTTTCTTTTTTAACCGAAGAATCTTTTTATTTGGTTGATCATATTAGAATTGTGAGAAAGAAGGACAACACGTACGAATTGTTGATGTCATGCCATTAATAAGAAACTTCATGCCAGAGTAAAACCTATTCCTTTGTTTAGTAGCTTGTGTGTTATTGGGAAATGTATATAAGCCGTAAGTTTGTCGCTCTTTAAGTACTTTAACGTTGTATCATTTTCCATTGCGTACCCAGCGGCATGGCCTAGAGGTTTAGAACATTGCCTAGCATTCGGGAGGACGCCGGTTCGATTCCGCGTCCGTCTGCCTTGAACCAAGTTTTTTCTGTGGTTTCCTTAGATCACTCAGGCAAATGCTGAGGCAGTAATATTCCACAGATAATCTTTCATTCTCTTCTGTCTTCATTTCGTCCGTCTCATCTTTCTCACCCGAACCACCATCCACCCATTCCCACAATTCCTGAAAGCAGGCTGAAGAGGGCCTTCCGCCCTACCTTCCGGCGTAGTCCGGAGGGACTGCCCGCCCACCAGCATTGCCGGTGGGAATGAAACACCCAAAAGTTTTAGTTTTTTTTCCATTGCGTTTCCGACTTTTGCGTCGAACTTGTGTGTACTTACAGGACCTGGAGCAGTCCNGCGGTTGTTAGAAATGATCTGGTCTACTACTTTTTAATTGTTTATTGATGGTTATAAAAATTACATTTGGAATGAACAATTAGAAAGATGATCCAGGTGCGAATGAAGTTTGTTGTAAAGCGAACCCAAGCATTAGAGTGAATTTGGTATTTATAAGGCCTCTTGGATATGTTTACATTCAACTTAATTTATAATTCATAGAACCAGTAGCAGGTAATGCGATAATTCTTAAATAAGTACTTAAAACTTTTGTGAAATACTATACTACATTGAAAGCTTTTCGTAGAAAAAGTGAGACCGGTAATTAATTTATAAGATAAAGCTTAGAACAATGAAATTGATAGCTCTAGATAGATTCTTCATCCAAAATTATATTCAAATTGTCTTAAATTCTTGGTACTAAAGTGATTATACACGTATATACTACCATAAATAAATGAAATATGAAGATGGTCAGAATATAAAGTAATCGAAGGAGTATAAAACGAATACATGTAAATGTAAATATAAATCCACAATTTTTTCATTTTATAAAGGCATATTATTTGTACTTTGAAAATAATAATTCTTCAATAAAATTAGTTATACATAATGTAGAAAACAAAAACACAAATACAAGTTACAAAGATGTTTATTGTACCACCTGTGTAACTTGTGTTTGTGTTTTTGTTTTCTACATTAAAATGAAGTTGCAAGATCTAAAAGCTTCATCAATTCAATGGTTATACATACATATACATTATACATAGACTAATTGCTTTCGAAATTTTTTTGAAGTACTTGTTCCGATTTGGGATTCGAAATTGTAATTACTTTTTTAATTGATATTTCGTACAAACGTGGATTCCGTACGCAATATTTTGTACAATGCGTTGGAGCAATTGATCTTCTTTATTACAAAGAATCGTTACGAGTGTCGATGATTGCGAAATTTAATTTTTACATACATCAATGAAAGCTACTAACAACAGTATCCGCGATCGCAGCGCGACATTAGTTAGCCGAAACAATTTGATTGAAATGTAACTATTTTGTTTCAGGCGATCCTGATATTTCGAGGTGTGTTATCAGCGGTGAAAAGCAATTATCCGATTTCCAGTGTGCGCTCTCTAGGCAGTCTGAGTAGTTATGGGTCTGCTACTGCGACTGTTACATTACAGTTGCATTGTACAATTGGCACACTCGATTCCACCTGTTATTCGCATAGGTAAGTCCCAGGCAAAAGTAAATATTCGATCGATCCAATCGACTCTTTTTGTTTTCGGATCGGAGCTGTCTAACTGCAAATCCTTTTACGTGACTCTGAATAAGTATAAGTTAAAGAATAAGAAAGAAAACGACAGTACGGAAAAGCAGAGAAAGGCACTAATAATAAAAGCATTTGTATACGGAACTTAAAATTGGAAAATTCAATAATTTCATAATTTATCCAATAATAATTCAATAAATCCAATAATTATCCTTATCGTTAAATCTAAATAGAATTTTTGTTTCCTTTTTTGAATGCGCGACCTTAACTGTCTTCATACGTGATATTGTCTGTGAGTGAGGGTTGAAAAATTTTAAACCTTTATGATATGTCTACATTATGTTGGGCAATCTTCTACTAAGCACTGAAATTGCATTGATACGATGCAATAATTATTTCTGAACTACCAGAAACAACTTTTAGAAATATTTACTTATTTACTAGTAATATATAAATTATAAAGATTAACTGCAAGTAATCTAAATTTTACTAAGAAGAAAAAGACTATGAATAGCTAACTTTTACCAGTTTGATTAAAAATTGAGCTACTGTCAGGTGCAGTTTCTAGTATTTTTGAGTAGCTAAAATTAAAAGCCATTAATATTAATAATATTGCTTAAGAACTTGAGTGGAAGTACGTGTCCGACCAGTCTTAATTCTGACGACCTTATCATGAAGAACTTGATACAAACAAGATTTATATCATTAATTATTCGCACTGAATTAGAAATGCTGGAAGAATGTACAATACCTGTGAAAATTTTGTTTGTAAAGCGGCTACTGAATAAATTAAAACTGACAAAACTGAGAGATAAAATAGATAAAATAGTTAGTTCAAGTTCACTCGGCAGACTTATGAAGAGTCTGAATTTTTCATGTAATTGTTAAATGAAGAAAACTTTACCCCGAAAAGCGAAATATTTTGGACATTGTAATCGCCAATACATACGCTTCTGTCTTTGAATGAAAACGGTTTAATTACCTTGAATAGCTAACATCATTAGCCTTTTTGGTTATCGTTTCTGATCTTGTATCTCGTAATGTCTAAAACTAAATTGTTTAGCCTTTCGGCGTAACTTTGAGTGGCTTGAGTGTCTGACAGCGTTTCTTTTCATCAAACTGCCAATTGCACTACAAGGCTGTGGTGTACATTGAGGTAATACAAAATTGGGGCATATTTGTATGCCTTCAGGGAAATAGAGTTCCAAATGTGACAAACGTAATAGAACTGGCATATGATGGTCATGCTGTGACTGCGTAGATTTATGTGGTTCAGACACACGTATCTACGGCTAGTTAATATTCCAATTGTGACACAGACGCTATTCATATCTGTAGGAAAACGATTTCACCGCATATTAAATTTTATCGATTTTTATACTTAAGGTTTAAAGCTATGCCATTTAGATTTTTGGCCAGTTATTCTACAGATGTATAGGGTGTTTTCTAAACATGCGATAAAAGTTTAAGGGATGATTGACAAGGTATTTTTGTCCAGAAGAGTCTTTATAAATATTTGTCGAACAATTCTACGATCTTTCAAATGGGTCACCCTGAACACGATCTTTTCTCAATATTATTTTTGAAACCATCGATAGTGGAATCTCAGATTTGATTCAC